AATCTCTTAAAATATATATTTATTTATTTTCATTAATTTTTTTTTTTTTTTTTTAATTTTAAGTAGGCTCCACACCCAACATGGGGCTTCAACTCATGAGCCTGGGATTAAGAGTCGCATGCTCTACAAACTGAGCCAGCCGGCTGCCCCAGACGTTGACTCTTTTTATTTTTTTTTTTTAAGATTTTTATTTATTTGAGAGAGAGAGAGAGAGAGCATATGAGAGGGGGCAGGGTCAGAGGGAGAAGCAGACCCCCTGCCGAGCAGGGAGCCCGATGCGGGACTCGATCCCGGGACTCCAGGATCATGACCTGAGCCGAAGGCAGTCGCTTAACCAACTGAGCCACCCAGGCACCCCCCAGACATTGACTCTTTTTAGAGCCTAGCCAGTTGTCTCCAAGACTGTCCCACATTCTGGATTTGTCTGATTGTTTCCCCATGATTAGATTCAGGCTAAACATTTTTGACACAGAACTATATAGATGATGTTGTATACATCTTACTATACCCATCATATCAGGAGGGACACAAGGCCGTTTTAATACATATGATGAAGCTGAATTCAGCTCAAAATATCATCCCAGATGATATTGTAAATAGCAAAACATCTTAAAGGGTATGTTCCCCCCACTGATTTATTTATTTTTGGCACGTCTACGTGGGTTAGTTTCTGGGATGATATTTTGAGACTATGTGACTATGTGTTCCCCAAAGGCATTTCACCCAATGCTTGCTTAAATCAATTATTACACTGGGGATTGAAAAAAAGTGATTTTCTAATTTGATCACGCCTTCTATATTTATTATCTGAAAACCTTCTATAAAGACTTTCTCTTGTGCCTCCTCTTTGTTGAGTAGCACAAGGATTGATTTTTTTTTTAATTTGATATAACAGAATCCATTACGTTCATTATATAATCACTATGTTCTTTTTTCATGCTCAAATTGTCCCAAATTTGGCCTGTGGGAAATTCTTCAAGCTGGTTCCTATGTCCTTTTGACATATCTCCATCAGTCACTGAGTATCTACTTGCCCAACAAGATGTCCCATCTGTTACTCTCCCTTCCTCAAACCTGGAAGCAGTCATTTCTCTAAGAAGCCCTGGTTCCTTTAAGTGAAGAATGATATTCACAAAACAAGATCTGAGTGCTCACTACCTTTGTTTCTAGGCCGGTGGCATCACAAAGCATACATCTGTTCTTTGTCCCCAGTTCCTGGCAGGGAACTTCAAAAAACCTTGGCATTTTCTAAGTGCCAGAAGGGTCATTGTTATGCAAATGAGGTGACTCAGGTGGGGCCCCTAAATAGCTTCAGGATGGGGGCTGGTCATCAGAAAGACCAACCATTCATTGCAACTTTGGGCCAGCTGGATCTCCAGGGAAAGAAACAGGGAGGGAGGTCAGCTGGAGAATGAGTTCAGTCACATAGCCAATGATCTAATCAGCCATTCCTATGCAATGAAATCCCAATAGAAGTTCTGGATGTTCAAGCTCAACAGAGCTTCCTCGTTAGTCAACAGTCGGTGTGGTGGGAGGGGATGATGAGCGTCAATTTACATAAACTCTTGAGTCTCCTCCCCACCCTTCTGCTCTCAGACCTTGCCCTATGTGTCTTTTCCACTGGTTGTTTCTAATTTGTATCCTTTAAAACTGTCTACTGTGAGTAGAGTGCTTTCAGTGAGTTCTGGGTCATTCTAGCAAGTTATCAAAACAGAGGGGATCATGAGACCCCCAAATTTATGACCAGTTGCTCAGAAGTGCAGGTGGCCCCCAACTTAGAGCTGCCATCTGAAGTGGAGGCAGTCTTGTGCAAGACTATAACCTAAACGTGCAGAGTCTGAGGCTAACTCCAGGTAGTATCGAAACTGAACTGAACGGCAGGTCATTTGAACTGAACTGGGTGTTAGCTGGCGTCAGAACATGAAAGGTTCTGGGGCACCTGGGTGGCATGGTCGGTTAAGCGTCCAACTCTTGGTTTCGGCCTAGGTCGTGATCCCACCATCATGAAATCAAGCGAACCCCGTGTCAGCCCCATGTCAGGCTCCACACCCAGCATAGAGTCTACTTGAGATTCTCTCCCCCCTCCCTCTGCCCCTCCTGCTCATGCTCTCTCTCTCTCAAATAAATAAATACATCTTAAAAAAAAAAAAAAGAACATGAAAGGTTCTTTCTGTAAACACAGCTACAAAATACTATTTATACACACATACACACTCAAATTATAAATTTGCAAATGTGCCATGACAATAAACACATTTTTTTATTTATTTTTTTTTTTTAAGATTTTTTTTATTTATTTATTTGAGACAGAGAGAATGAGAGACAGAGAGCACGAGAGGGAGGAGGGTCAGAGGGAGAAGCAGACTCCCTGCCAAGCAGGGAGCCCGATGCGGGACTCGATCCCGGGACTCCAGGATCATGACCTGAGCCGAAGGCAGTCGCTTAACCAACTGAGCCACCCAGGCACCCTAAACACATTTTTTTAAAAAAATCTTATGTTCAGGTCAATTCCCAAATGAAATCCAACACCACATGAAAATCACATTAACACACATGGATCCATTTTTTTTTTTTTTTTTTTTTAAGTAGGCTCCATGCCCAGTATGGAGCCCAAGGCAGGGTTCAAACTTACAACCGAGATCAAGACCTGAGCTGAGATCAAGACTCAGATGCTTAACTGACTGAGCCGCCCAAGCACCCCTACACGTGTACCTTATTATTTTTCACAGCTGCACAGCAATATGTATATAGTGTGGATATATCATGCTTTTTTCAACCAATATCTGGCAGTTGTTTGCTACGTATGCTTTTAGCATAACCTCGTGTGTTTGCTGTTTTGTATTTGTAAAGATGTACCTTCGAGGCAAATTCACACAACTGGGCCTGCTGGATCATGGGTAAATGCACAAGAATTTGGTAGACTGCCAAAAGCCCCTCCACACAGGTTACACCATTCTGGACTCCCATCAGCAAGGTGTGAGTACCTGTTTTCCCAGAGCTTCACCAGCTATGCATGCTGTCCAGTTTTTGAACTTTTGCTATTTTGGTAGGTGAGAAATGTCAGTGTAGTTTTAATGTGCATGTCCTTCATTATGAGTAAATTTGAGCATTTTTTCATATGCTTAAAGTCTATTTGTAGAGTTTTTTTAGAGACTTGCCTACTTAGGTATTTTGGACAATTTTTTCCATTAGGTCTTAGGTCTTTTTTCTTTCAACTTATAAGAGCAATTTGTAGAGTGGAAAAATTAACTCCTTCTTTATATAAGGGGCAAATATTTCCCCCTCTTCATCATTTGTCTTTTGATATGCTTATAACCACACAAATCTTTTTTAAAAACGATTGGTAAATTCAATCTTTTACTGCTTCTAGATTTTGAATCATACAGAACACCTTTCTCCAAGATATAAAATAATGCATCTAACTCTGTTATTTATAAATTTTTTTCAACATTGAGATCTCTGAGCCAGTGGAGTTTATTCTGACAAATTGGCAAAGCCAATTTTAAATTTTCACAGATAGCTATCTAGTTGCCAACATCACCTATCTTAAAAGTATATTTCCCCCCCCCCAGGGAAAAGAGATACCACATTTATTATATACAAAATTCCCATATGTTTTTGGGTCTATTCCTGAAATTTTACTCTGTTGCATCAATCTGTCTCAAAAGGAGCCAAAACACTTTTAATTACAGATGCCTTATAGTAAGTTTTAATATCTAGTAGGACTAGTCTTTCTTATTACTGTATCAAGGCTTTCCTAACCATTCTCGCATGTTTATTTTTCCATATGAATCAATGAGTGTGGCTCCAGGGGGAAAAAAAAAAGTTATTGAAACTTTTAATGGGATTTTATCAGATTTATGTATTAAAGAGAATCGGCATCTTTAGAACACTGAGTCACCATATCTAAAAACAAGAGGTATGTCTGTTCAAGACATTTTTAGATCTTTCAGGAATGTTTTCAGTTTTCATCACAGAGATTTCAGGATATTTCTTTTTAAATTTATTTCTACATACTTATTTATCTTTTATATAGCTGCTGTAGAGGGGGGTCTTCTCTTCCACTATGGCCTCTAACTGGTTATTGTTTGGAAATATATTACTATATCCTGCTACCTTACTGATTTCATTTGAGTTTGTGTTAATTTTATCATTGATTTTCTTGGATTCTTCCATAGTTTTACTTCTTTTGTTTCTAAAACTTATGCACTTGGTACATTTTTAGTAGGATATTCTCATTTCCCAAAACTCATACATAAATTGAGTCTATATACTTTTATGCTATTGTGTATATTAGACTATTTTAATTTCAGATCACTGGAATCTGTGTAAAATCCTACCACACTATACATTCTCACACCCATCTTGCAGTGACAATGACAACCCAAACTAACATCTCCTAGATTCCTAGAGCCTCCTATGCTGATCTCAGCACCTACAAACCAAGGAGCTGTCCCTAAGCCCAACACCATTCAGTCTATATGACAGGAAGCAACTTTAAGAGAGCTCCACTTGGAATCTCAACACACTCAGTCTCTTCATCCCACCTCTTCAGCCACAATACTGAATGAAGCCCCTCTAACCATCTACCCTTTCCTCAGTTCTTGCCCTAAAATCTGCCTATCATATCCTATCGAAGCTCACGTAAAAATGGCAAAGAAGTGGGGCAGCAGCTAGTTAAGCATCCAACTCTTGATTTAGGCTCAGGTCATGATCTCAGGGTCCTGAGATTCTGCCCTGGGTGTGGAGCCTGCTTGAGATCCTCTCTCTCTCTGCCCATCCTCTCCCGCCTCCCCTGCTCGCACTCTCTCTCTCTAAAAGAATTTAAACTAAAATTTTTAACAAATTGTTAAAAAATGGCAAAGAAATATAACACTCTCAAGATGGAGGCAAAGAAATAAGACTGCCTAATGAGCTCAGGTGGACCACACACCAATACAGAATGCAAGAGATGTTAGCTAACTGCAGGATCCAAGTCCACTCCTTCCCAGTTACAGTACCTTTTCTTTCTTCACATAATTCATAATTTTGCCAAGGTCCTCAACATCAACAACAGAATTTAGATTCTGATGGTCTTCAGTACCAGACTCTTCCTCACTGGTGCTCTCAAAGGACTCTTCCTCCTGGAACATCAATGTTTCAGAAACACATTGTTCAAAGTAGAAACCTCCCAAATTGTGAGTTCACTGGATAGACTTGAGATATTTCAGGCTAGAGGTCAGCAAACTATGGCCCACAAGCCAAGTGCAGCCAGCCTCAGGCCAAATCTAAAGGCAACCATCACTGGCAGATCATCTGTAGCTACTTTCGTGATACAGTGGCAGAATTAATAGTTGCAACAGAAACCATATGACCCACAAAGATGGAATATGTACCAACTGACCCAACAGAAAAAGTTTCCTGACCTCTGTTTGAGACACAGAGCCAACCAGGTTTAGTGAGGAACTAAATGCAGCAATAAGGAAAAGGAAGGAATTAAGCATGGCTCTCAAGTTTCTTCTTTTTTTTAATAATTTTTTTTTTAAGGTTTTATTTATTCATTTGACAGCGACAGATACAGCGAGAGAGGGAACACAAGCAGGGGGAGTGGGAGAGGGAGAACCAGGCTTCCCGCTGAGCAGGGAGCCCAACGCGGGGCTCGATCCCAGGACCCTGGGATCATGACCTGAGCCGAAGGCAGACGCTTAACAACTGAGCCACCCAGGCGCCCCTCAAGTTTCTTTTTTAAGTAACTGAGATGGTGGTGCTGTTTACTGAGATGAGAAAGATTTGGGGAGAAACAGACCAAGAGAGTGGAAATGAAAAGCTCCATTTTGAATTTGTAAAGCATGAGATGCCTGAGACATCCACGCAGAGATTTTAAAGAGGATGCACAGAAGAGAACAAAATTCAGGATAAACTTCAGAGCTGGAAATATAAACCTGGGAAAGACTAGCATATAGACAGAACTTAAGGCCATGAAACTAGATAAGCCCATCCAGGAAAAAAGTATCAACAAAGAAAAGAACCTCTCACCAAGCCCTGAATCTTTCCACCATGTAGAGGTTAGTTAAGGATGGATGATCCCAAGTGAAAAAGGAAGAAAACCATGAGAATAGTGTCGTGAAAGTCAAGAGAAGAGAGTGATTCAAAGAAGGAGCGGTATCGAGTACTATTGAGAGGGCAAGTAAAATGAAGACAGAGAAATGTCCATGGGGCTTGACAACACGATGTCCTGGGACCTAGGAAAGAGCAGCACTGTGGGGCAGAGAGCCAAACCAGAGTGGGTGAGCATGTCCTGGGATTTCTGCTCCCAGCTGCAGGGCAGAGGATACTGAATACCCCTCCTATGGAAAATATCACTGAATAACAGAATATTTTAGTAGCATAATTTTAAATGTATCACTGAGTTGGCAAACATATTACTAATTCAAAGAGGACAAATATGAACTAAAAAGGGAATCCTAAGAGATAAGCGAGAGATGGAGCTGAGAGTACCTGCTGAACTCTGGAGAACCTAACTAACAGCTACATAGGACCAGGGAAGAGCAGGCTAAGTCAAGGAGACAATACTGGGAGGAGAGACTAAAGTCTCAGAAGTCTCAGAAGACCGAAGTCAAAGCTGGGACCCCATGAGGCTGCATTTCTCATGTACAGATAAATTAGAAATAAATGTTCTGTGTGAGAGGAGAAAGCAGAAAGATAGGCAGAAAATTTGGGGGAAAAAACAGAGCAAAGAATAGATAGAGGGATTTTATTCAAAGTTTCTAAAGTTTCTGGGAGGGGCAGAAGAGGATCTTATAATACAAATTCAGTATCGAGTTAAACTGAAGTTCCCAAAAGCAATACTCTAACTAGAAGACAGGGGATCAATGTGGTCAATTTTCTGGGGAAAAAAAAATAAAAATTGCTCCAAGCTAGAACTTTACTCAGGGAAGCATCAATCAACTATGAAGGCAGGATAAAGACATGCAGATACAAAAATTCTGGAAGTTTACTTCCAAAACACCCCTTCTCAGAGACCTACTGGAGAATGCGCTCCAAAAAGAAGAGCCAACCAAGAAATAAGAAGACCGAAGATGCCAGAATCAGGGAATCCAACCCGGGAAGCCAGTCAAAGGCAGGACTTCAGCCACACCAAGTCTTGGAGAGCAGCCACGCCTCCAAGGACGTGGAGGAGAAAGGACTCCTGAGAAGCCTCCAGGAAATCGATAAAAACTACAGAACACTGAAAAATAATTTTCAGTTCCACTAGCATTTTGGAATCAATTAGTGATAGTTACAGAGGAATCAAAGCAGATGTAGCCGTTACCTAAGGGAAATACATGTGTAGGAATGAACACGGGATACCACAGAACACAGGACACATGGGAGCACGTACACGGTCACAATTATGACACAACAAGCCGGGGTCTGCCAGAAGGTGTGATACAACTGTACCAAGAAAATGGGAGAAGAAGTGATACTGTGTGTGTGTGTCCATGTGAGACAGAGACAGAGATTCTGAAGTGTTTTAAAAATCAAGAAATAGCAAGAAGGGCCTATGAGTTAGGAATATAGAGGTAAATCTCTGATGAAAAAGCTAGAATTGAGAATGACTGCCCTGGCCAAATAAGAATTAGAATAAGGCAAGAAAGTACAGTTTTTAATTATAAGCCTAGAAGCACTATTTGAGGGTTTAAATGTACAAGTGTTACTTTTGATTTAAAAAAAAATTTTTTTTTTACTTAAGTTTGTTTAAACGTTAAGACCCGAGGCTGATATCAGCAAAAATGGCAGAGTAGGTAACTCAAAGGGCCCGTTCTCCCATAGAAACAACCAAAACTTAAGTAAAAACCAACAGATTGAACTCTAATTCCCAGAGTTCTGACAAAGGTTTACAAGAACCAAGTAAACACTGAATCAAGAAAAAGGAAACTTGGGGCACCTGGATGACTCAGTCGGTTGAGCATCTGCCTTAGGCTCAGGTCATGATAGGCCTATCATTGGATAGCGAAAACTGCTTACTTCACTTCTGGCCTATTTCAGTTGTGAGAAATCAACTGAGGGGGCGCCTGGGTGGCTCAGTCGGTTAAGCGGCTGCCTTCGGCTCAGGTCATCATCCCAGAGTCCTGGGATCAAGTCCCGCATCGGGCTCCCTGCTCAGTAGGGAGCCTGCTTCTCCCTCTCCCTCTGCCTGCCTCTCTGCCTACTTGTACTCTCTCTCTCTATCAAATAAATAAATAAAAATATTTTTAAAAAATAAAAATAAAAAAGAAATCAACTGAAACCATCCCTGAGGAAACACAGACCTACTAGATAAAGACTTCAAGTCAATGGTCTTAAATATGCTCCAAGAGCTGAAGGAAACCAGGAGAACAATGTCCCAACAAACTGAGAACATCAACACACAGAGACAGAAATTAGAGAAAGGAAACAAAGAAATTCTTGATCTGAAAAGTCTAATAACCGAACTAAAAATTTCACTAGAGGGTTTCAGTAGATTTGAGCAGGCAGAAAAACCAGCAAACATGAACACAGATCAGCTGGAAAGTGACCAGTCCGAAAAATGAACAAGTGTACCAACACATATAAAAGGGGCACTCTGAAATAAGCAGTGCTTGCACAGAACTGTGAGTGTACTGAACACCACTGGGTTGTATCCTTTACAACCGTTAATCAGACGTACATGAATTTTACCTCAATTTTTTTAAACAGTGTAAAAAAATTAAGGGCCAATGGGAGGGGAGATAAGCACAGCAAAAAGACTACCTAGAAAAGAGAACAGAAAAATGAAGCAGCAGCTGAAACATACAGAATAAAAGAAACATTTGTTTCTTACTTGCTTTTCCTGTTCCTTTGAACAGGATGATGTCAAGGCATGTTTATAAGTTTAGAGAACAATCTAGTGGAGGTGAAGAGACTAACAAGGCCGAGAGAGAGACACAGAAAACAGAGACAAAGCCCCTGATTCCAGAGCATGCAGAGTGGCTTTGACAGGACTCAGACCCGAGGTCTCCTGCGGCATAAAAGATGGAGAGGATGTGTAGATTGGGTGGAGGACACTATACAAGATCTCTGGCAGCTTCCTAAGATAGCTGGAGGAAGGAGCAGGGAGAAAGAGTATTCAATAGTGATCTTGGAGAGCGAGAAAGGGAACTTACACAAGAACGCTGGACACTGCTGGGCACGCCTGAGTGCACACCTGAGCCTGTGGTGAGGAATCCAGGGTCAAAGAGCAAGCAGCAGGCAAATGGGAAGGCAAATGGTAGGTTTCAACCTGGCTTGGGGTTTGACCATTTGGGTTAGAAAAGGGACTGGAAGGCAAGGCAATTGAAGATTGTTTATAAAAGAATGAGTATAAAAATTAAACTGGGTAAGGACAGAAGTGAAGTAATCAGTTTTCACTATCCAATGAAAAAGGTATGGGACCAAAAGAATTTTAAAGCAGGACACCTGAGAGAGATCAGTCAAGGTCACGGAAACATAAAATTTCAGAAGTGACCGTGGAAGTGAGAGGCCAAGGTCAGCGAAGACAATGGCTGTTGGCGGTATGAAGGCCAGGCACCTGGCAGACCAGGACACTGGATTAATCACCTGCACGGATGGCTTTGCCCCAAAAAGTAACAACAGAAACAAGGGTGAAGAGAAAGTGAGTCAGCAATTACAGTGGTTCCTGAATGACACAAGTGAGCAGGTGACCAAAGGATGACGGACAGCCGTGAAGACAAGCAGTGATGAAACGGTCGGGTGACATGAGCTTCCAAGGAACGAGGGTCCCTGAACAAGGACCAAAGAGACATGTTTAGAATGTGAGGGACAGGGGCACCTGGGTGGCTCAGATGGTTGGGCATCTGCCTCTAGCTCAGGTCATGATTTCAGAGCCCTGGGATTGAGCCCCGCATCAGGCTCCCTGCTCAGCGGGGAGCCTGCTTCCTCTCCCTCTGCCTCTCCCCCTGCTTGCTTGCTCTCTCTGTCTCTCTCTCTCAAATAAATAAATAAAATGCTTAAAAATAAAAATTTAAGAATTAAAAAAAAAAAAAAAGACTGTGAGGGACAAAAAGAGAGGAATCTAAGATGACGGGCAGCCTTCCAGTCTAATTAATAAGGAGTCGTTCAGTAAGAGAGGTCGGGAGAAAGACATGGTTAGGGGATATGGAGACAGGACATACGTAACCTCAGGCCTCTGCCTCCAACCCTCCAACTACGGGAGAAGTCTGCTACCCTGGCAACGCAACCATTAAAGCAGGGAAACAGGAAAGTATGCTGCCCACGCTGGCTTCACTCGGAAGGCCGCACGCAATCTAAAACGCCCCCACGGGAGCCACAGATCTTCCTTCTAACCAGAAGCCAGGGAAGGCGTTTCTCGGGGCAGAGGTTAAGGTCCAGCATCCCCACACACAGGAGGAAAGCAGCGAGACCCGAACACAGGGGCTCCATACCGCAGACGACTCGCACTGGCCTCTCTTGCAGTTGCCATCACAGGGCTTTTTCTCTCCTTTCTGAAGTGTCTGCAGCCGGGCAAGGAACTTGGTCTTCCAGGCTCTGAAGTCTGCTTCGATGCTGCCATGTTTGCTCTTAGCCACGTCACAGTCCCCCTCCCCTCTAGTCGCCACACGATGAGCACCAAGCATCCAGAGCCACTTATCGACATTCTTGCCAACCTGCAAGACGAAGACAGAGGCGCTAAGACACAATCCTCTAAATCACAGGCTGGGAGGTTGCTCTGCAAAAGGCCCAAGTTCCTCTGGGACCCCATCACTGGCTGCTGCTGGGAAGAGGGAACTTGGCCTAAACGGGCCCTCCAGGCCCAGCTGCAACCTGCAAACACTACATTGGTTACATCGGATAAGATCCTGCAAAAGACTCTTTAAACAAGGGGACAAACCCTTTTACTAAGGTAAGGATTACTACCTAAAAAAGACTTTGAAAACTACTATTCTAAGTTGTGGTCAGAATAACATAACTCATTAGCAAAATAAATTTGTTCCAAAACGTAGCAAAGCCCATTTTAATAACAAAGGGCAAATGCAGCCCATTCGGCAAGACTCAGACTTCATCAATTCCGAACTTTAATGTACTGCAAGAAGCAGTTAAGCTGAGGCACAGGGATTACCAAGAAGCACAATGAAGAGTTCAAAAACTTAATAGGCTTTCTGAGTGGCAAGGCATTAAACAAAACATTTACATATCTGAATTGTACCATTTTTTGGGTCTACTTCCTTTGAAAATATGGGCAGAAATACACATCTTGATGTAACTACTGAGTGAAAATCTTATGGAAAGATCTCCACTTTCACCTTTATACACATTCTACCAAAGACAGCTGAGCCAGGCTGGGCCCATTTTGGGAAGAGGTACATATACAAAAGTTCTAGTAAATGTTTAAAACCACAAGAAACAGAGAGGCTCTGTATTTTTATTATTTAAAGTACAGAGAACAGAATGCAAAAGGAGCCAAGTTAACTTCATTTAGAAAAAAGATCTAGGAAAACAAAACAATGTTTTATTACACAAAAGGCAGTGAATGTTTTTCTTCTATTTCCCTTTAAAAATTAATGATTAAAAGACAAGGAGCTCAACTGTTAGTTTGAGCCATAAAGGCTGTTCAACAACAGAACAGGCGGCTGAGAAAGTCCAGAATCAGTGATCTTTCATCCACAAGGTCCTGCCTGGGGACAGCAGACTGGACGCGATGGCCATGAATCCAGATCACTATGACACTAGACAATAGGAGGTATAAGGATTTTATTCAATAAAAATTTACTTGAGAACCTGCTATACCCCAAGCTTGGAAACATGTGTGCAGCAATTCCCCACTATAAAGAGTAACACAGGGGCGCCTGGGTGGCTCAGTCGTTGGGCGTCTGCCTTCGGCTCAGGTCACGATCCCAGGGTCCGGGGATCCAGCCCCGCATCGGGCTCCCTGCTCCGCGGGAAGCCTGCTTCTCCCTCTCCCACTCCCCCTGCTTGTGTTCCCTCTCTTGCTATGTCTCTCTCTCTCAAATAAATAAATAAATAACACAAGAAGTTTATTATTAAACACCAAAGTTCGGGGACTACTTCACATACACATGTGAATGGGTGTGTGTGTGAATTTTTTTTAATTTTAATAGAGAATTTATCCCTATAATTCAACACATACCTACCTTGTTGAAGTGGCTCGCATAGGCAGAATTTCCCAGGCCAAATACAGCGTACCTCATACCCTTCAGGTAAGTTTTGCCAAATCGAAAATCACTGGATGCTTCCTCCAGCCATTTGCAGAACCACTCTGCACTTTCAGGGGGTCGACCTTCAGTGTATGTAGCAACCACGAAGGCACAAACGTTCTTACTGGTAACCTAACCGAGAAAGTAATTATTTCAGAATATTCAAGAACAACTTATCAGTAAAGAAAATCCCTTTTTAAAATGCTGACATCGGGTGCCTGGGTGGCTCAGTCGTTAAGCGTCTGCCTTCGGCTCAGGTCATGATCCCAGGGTCCTGGGATGGAGCCCCGCATAGGGCTCCCTGCTCCACGGGGAGTCTGCTTCTCCCTCTCCCACTCCCCCTGCTTGTGTTCCCTCTCTCGCTGTTTCTATCTGTCAAATAAATTTAAAAAATCTTAAAAAAAAATAAAATAAAATGCTGACATCCACATCAGTACTAACCTCAGACAACAAAGGTGCTTTCAAAACGTTATTCATTTTCAAAAGTAAAAGAAAACAGAGCAAGGACACCTTGAATGGGGAGAAAACCCAGTCTCTGGCTCCTGCCAATATACCCCCAGGTGCCCCTAACTATGTACTCCATTCCAATTCTCAAGCAGTAAGTTCCTATCATTTCCAACTGTCATATTGGAAACAAAATCCAAATCAGTCAGGAAGAAACACAGAAAGAGAGCTTTAAAATTACCTAAAAAACTAAAACAACAAAACTTTTTAAATGTAAAGTAACAATTTATTAACACTTGGTACCACTGTCTACAAGAGGAAAGAAAATACCCCCCGGACCTGCTAACCATGGTATTCCATCTGCTTGAATGCACCTTAAAAATTCTAAGTCATAGGGGCTCCTGGGTGGCTCAGTCGTTGAACGTCTACCTTCGGCTCAGGTCATGATCCCAGAGTCCTGGGATCAAGCCCCACATCGGGCTCCCTGCTCAGTGGGAAGCCTGCTTCTCCCTCTCTCACTCCCCCTACTTGTATTCCCTCTCTTGCTGTGTCTCTATCAAATAAATAAATAAAATCTTAAAAAAAAAATTCGGGGCGCCTGGGTGACTCGGTTGGTTAAGCGACTACCTTCGGCTCAGGTCATGATCCTGGAGTCCCGGGATCGAGTCCCGCATCGGGCTCCCTGCTCGGCAGGGAGTCTGCTTCGTCCTCTGACCCTATCCCCTCTCATGTGTTCTCTCTCTCTCATTCTCTCTCTCTCAAATAAATAAATAAAATCTTTAAAAATAAATAAATAAAATAAAAATTAAAAAAATAAAAAATAAAAAAAATTCTAAGTCATGAGATAAGTTATAAGCAATCCATTATTAATAATAAAGACTCAAAGGTTGCTAATAATTTTTCACAAGTAATTCTGAGCAGATTCAAGTACACTCATTTGCACTCCACTATTCTCTTTTGGGAGAAAGAAATGGACAGTTACAGCTGGGTTATCCACTAAGAAGGGGCTGGCAAACTATGTTCCACAGGCCCAGTCCAGCTCACTGCCTGTTTTGTTTTGTTTTTTTAAACAAGGTGTTATTGAAACACAGCCACACTCGTTCATTTACATGTTGCCTATGACCACACAAAGCTAATATTCACTATCTGGCCCTTTACAAAAGAAATTCGTCAACCCCTGCTCTATGTGCTTCAGAATCATCTGGAGCACCTTTCTAACAAGTTCCTAGGAGATGCTGATATTGTAAGTTCAAGGACCACACCCTGAGAACCCCACTATAAGGCAAACTCCCCTGAGTATAGCTAGAAGGAGAGGGATTTCTCTGAAGAAATTAAACCCATGTAGATCTTAAGTAATGCACAGAGGTCACACAGGCAGTGAGAGATTTCTCTAACTCCAAAACCCATATTCTCTCTGCTACCCAAGTGGCTCCTGACCTCTCAGTCAGCTCATACATGGTTCACAGGCTCAGCACACTGCCATCCATCACCCTTCCTTGATTATGAGATCCGTAGCAGGAGGGAGGAGGGAACTTCAAACCACCCAACCTTTCCCACCCTTACCCCCGCCGCAGGAAAGACTACACACCGGAGGGGCAGGTCCCACACCACATATTCAACACCTCTGACTGACACTGAAAACGCAACCAACTGAAAACTCCTTAGCATGAAAATCAAATTTATTCTGAAGATTCTATTTATCCCAGAATGCAGGAGGTCAATTACATTTGAGAGTTTGGACTGAAGAAAAAAATAACATAGTTACCAACCTCCTCTACTAGATGATCATCTGGATCATATTCTTTCAGATTAATAACAGCCACAGGGAGATCTAGGGAGGTAACTGCTTCAGCAAGACTTGTTGCAAATCCCTAATAGGAAAAAAAAAAAAAAATCACAAAGTCTTCAATAAGCTAAATAAGCAAAACACAGTCTTCATTTACTCTTGTTGGCAAAGGAATAAAGCATTTATCATGGAAAACTTTTTCACTGACTGACACTTATCATCATAAACACAAATACCTATTCCCACTTCTTCCATTTTCTCAAGCATCTTTATAGAGATCAATCATTCAACTGTGCCGTTCTCACTCTGTAAGTACGTATGCGGGACCACATTTAAATTGGCTTTTTGACATTCCAGCTGCCTTGCCCCACTAGAATAAACATATAGGTGATAAGAAATACTGAAGAGGGAAGAGAATGTGATATATGAGAAATGCGACACATTTCTGGAAGACAGAAAGCAAACAGAAGCAGGTTGACGGGGAGGAAAAGCCCTAGGGGAGAGTCCATATGCCTGACAAAACCCTAGAGAGGTTCTGGGCGCAGAAGCAGCCACTACAGTGAAGCTGTGAGGGAAACCTGGGGCAGAGAAGAACCAATCAGCAGACAATCTGTATACAGGACAAGTGCACACCAAGTCTGGGCAGCATCTGCCCTTTACCCCCAGACAAAACACCCACTAGGCTCTTCTCCAGACAAAATGAACCAAATGTTTGGGGAAAGCTAACACTTCTAGCCCCATGGCTAACTTCTAGGCACTCTGAAAAACATCCTCCTACTTTTCGCTTAGTAGTCTTACACTTGGTTCCCCATCTCCCAGGATGAAAGCTAAGCCTACCAAGCATCTATTATTTTACTGGGCATCTACTAGGCCAGTCTCAGTTCTGGGCAATATTACACAACAGTGAACAAGACACACACAGTCTCTGCTTCAGGAGCTTATGTTCTAATGGGCAGAGACAGAGCAAACGTGGAAATGAGAAGACATAGTTAATCAGATGATGTGCTATGGAAGAAAATAAATCAGGATAAGGGGTAAGAACACAGGTAGGGATAGGTCTGGGGACAGTTTTATCTTAAACAGGGAGGGTCAGGACAGGTGCATAAGATTAAAAAATAAATAAATATTTAGTCTTTCTCCCTAGTTCCTGGCACAAAGCTTCTAAAACCCTTGGAACTTACCGACTTTGGTAAGCTAATGAAATAACTCATGGGGAGGTGGGCCCCAGGTAGCTTCAAGATGGGGGACGGTCACCACAAAACCAATTATGTGATTAAAGGTTTAGAACTTTCAGCACCATTGCTCCCAGTGAGTTCAATCATCCATGGCCAATGATTTAAAATGTCCACTAAAACCCCTAAATGACAGGACTCAGCGTTTCTGGTTTGGTGAACACACTGATGTGCTGAGGAAGTGGTGGGTAGAGAGAGGGCACGGAAGCTCCGAGCCACCCCTCCACCCCTCACCACCAGACCTTGCCCTATGCGTGTCTGCCATTTGTCTATTTCTGCCTTGTATCCTTTCTTTTTTTTTTTTTTAAAGATTTTATCTATTTGACAGAGAGAAACACAGCGAGAGAGGGAACACAGGCAGGGGGAGTGGGAGAGGGAGAAGCAGGCTCCCCGCTGAGCAGGGAGCCCGACGCAGGGCTCGATCCCAGAACCCCGGGATCATGACCTGAGCCGAAGGCAGACGCTCAACGACTAAGCCACCCAGGCGCTCCTGCCTTGTATCCTTTCTAATAAACTAGGAAGCATAGTTAGTTGGGCAATTTCCTGATTCTGCGAATCCTTCTAGGAAATGATCGAACCTAAGGAGAGGACTGTGGTATCGAGTTTATAGCTGGTCTGGTCACAAGCACAAGTGGCCCCTGGGACTAGTGACAGGCGTCTGAAGCAGAGACAGTCGTGCAGACTGGGTCCTTATACCTGAGGAGTCTGACAAAAACTCTGGGTAGTTCATGTCACAACTGGAGAACCGGTGTGGAAAAATGACAAGTATTTGGTATAAGAGGCCTCAAAGATAGACTTGAGCCAAACCTGAAGGACATGCGAGACAAGCCATGAGGCTACCCCAAGCAGAACAACATGTAAGTGAAAAGGCCCAAAGGAGGGAGCAGGCTTGGCAAGGTTAGTAAGACTGGAGACGTGGGGGGGGCGCCTGGGTGGCTCAGTCGGTTAAGCGTCTGCCTTCGGCTCAGGTCATGATCCCGGGGTCCTGGGATTGAGCCCCACATCAGGGGTCCCTGCTCAGTGGGGAGCCTGCTTCTCCCTCTGCCTCTGCCTGCAGCTCTCTCTGCTTGTTCTCTCTCTCTGACAAATAAATAAAAAAATTTAAAAATTTAAAAAGACTGGAGACGTGGGGACCAAGGACGAGAGGTAAAAGAGATAGTGGAGAACCAGACGTGAAGGCCTCCTGGCCACTGTGAGGTCACTGTGATTTACTCTAAGTGAATGAGGAGGTCATTGCTGGGTTTTTAAGCTGAAGGGAACGTGATTTCACTTAAGTTTTCCAAGTCCCTGTGGCTCCTGAGCTGAGAGGACACTGAAGCCAGAGGACGGGCCGAGCAGCACTGAATGAAGGGGACTGACCGGCAGTGAGGTGACTGCTGTGATCCAGACAAAAGCAGAGGGTGCCGTGAGCCAGGGTGCAGAGAAGTGACTGGCACCTGGATCCATTTTGAAAGTAGAACAAACAGCATTTGCTAACAATGGCATGGGGGTAGTAGGAAAAAGAGAGAATTCAAAGGGTTTCTTTTTTTTTTTAACTAGGCAACTGGAAAGATAAAGTTGCCATTTACTGAAATGGTAAAGATTCTAAGTGGAAAAGGTCTAGGCAAAAAAAACGGGAGTTCAGTTGGAGCGTACTAATTTTGAGATGCCTACCAGACATCACATGAAGATCTACGACAGGCCACTGGATATGAGAGTCTGGAGTTGAGGGGAACAGTTCAGATTAAAAACATATTGGGAGGCCACCACTGAACACAAACCAAGGCCCGTGGGTCAAATCCAGCCCTCCATTTGTTTCGGTACATAAAAGTTCCTGGGACCCAGTCATGCCACTTATTTACCCATGGTCTGTGGCTACTTCCACACCACAGCCGCAGAGCTAAGTAGCTGCGACAAGACTGTATGGTTCACAAAAACTACAAACCTAAAAACACAGTATATAAAATAAAATACCTTGCCCTTTATAGATAAAGTTTGCCAAATTGCTCTAGATAACAAGATCCCTTAGAGTGAGTGCAAATAAAGACAAGGACTGTGCCTTGGGACATTCAATCTTTCGAGGCCAAGAAGATGAGGAGAAATCTGCAAATGACAGTGAGGAAGACTAGCCTTGGCCGAGTAGGAGCATGACCTAGAGAACAGTGTCAAGGAAGATGAAGAGTGAGAATTAATTAGCAACATGGAAGTCACTGGGAACACTCGGGGCATGCAAGCCACACAAGAGTGGCCCAAGGAAAACAGAAGTAGGGAAACTGGAGATTTGGAGAGTGGCACAGACACATTCAAGCTTTATTCTAAAAAAAGAAAGAAAGAAAGAATGAAAGAAGAAAAAGAAAGAAAAAAAGGAAAGGAAAGGAAAGGAAAAAAATTGAGGTGGTAGTTAGAGGGAGATATGGGGTCAATAGGTAACATGGCATGCCCTGACCCACCATGCACAGAACATCTGGTAATATGGCATGCCCTGACCCATCGAGCACAGAAAATTTATAATTAGAGAACACAAATCTGTGCACACAGTAACAGAGAAAATCCACAATAACTACCCCATCATTCGGTCCTAAATATTAATAGAAAACCATGGATCACTAAGAATATAAGAACAATCAGCAGGAAGGAGAAATAGTAGCAAAAGAAAAAGTGAGAAAGCAGATAAATCAGGGAACAGAAAAACAAATTCAGTGAGATATATTCTTTTTTTTTTTTTAAGATGTTATTTATTTGAGAGAGAGAGAGAGAGCACAAGCCGGGGGAGAGGCAGAGAGAGAGAGAGAAGCAGGCTCCCTGCTAAGCAAGGGAGCCCAATGCAGGACTCGATCCCAGGACCCTGCGATCATGACCTGAGCCAAAGGCAGACGCTTAACTGACTGAGCCACCTAGGTGCCCCTACTAAGATATATTCTTAAATAACTAACAAAATAATATAAAAACTGAAAAAAGTGATGTTTTTGCAACTAAAAACATAATAGCCAAAATAAAACATTCAAAAAAGAAGGTTTAGAATTGAAATCCCACAATCCAGAATAGAAAGACAAAGTTACAAAAAGAGAGGATGGATTTAAGACAAAGAAGCCATCCAAAAGCTCTAACATCCAACTAACAAGAGTCCCAGGAAGAAAAAAAGAGAAAATGGAAAGGGAAAAAAATTGCCCAAGAAATCGGCAGAAATGCTCACAAATGTTCAAAAGAGCCCAAGTGTCCAGCACAACAGCTAAAAAAAGAGCCAATCCAGACATCATCTCAAAAAAGTTCCCAACATAAGGGCACCTAGGTGGCTCAGTTGGTTAAGCATCTGCCTTCGGCTCAGGTCATGATCTCAGGGTCCTGGGATCGAGCCCCACATCAGGCTCCTTGCTCAGCAGAGAGCCTGCTTCTCCCTCTCCCCCTGCTTGTGCTGTCAAGTAACTGAATAAAACCTTAAAAAAAAAAAAGTTCCAAACATCAAGGACAAAGAAATGATTCTAAAAGCTTCCAGAAACAAAAAAATCAAGTCATCTACAAAGGAATGAGGAGACTAGCTCTGACAGTGAAGTGACACCTTCAAAGTTGTAAGGAAAAACTAATCTCCCTTACCCAGCCAAATATGAATCCATTCAGTGTGAAAGCAAAATAAGGAAATTCAAATGGCACAGCTTTAAGGAGAGTCATCTAACCCATATTAACAAAGAGGTGGCCAACAATAAAGCCACTGAGATTTGAGTAATGTGTCAATTAATACAAGGAGTCAGTAACTTATAATTAACGTTAATAATCTAGAAATACAGCACACATGGGTTAAAATTATAGCCATCAGAGGAACCAAAAATAAGAAATAGTTAAAAAGAGGTTCACTAGAGAGTACTTTTCATTATGAACCCTCCTCATGCCTGGATTTGTTACAATCTGCAAGTGTTGATTTGATCTTTTAGAAAAAATTAAAAACACACATGAGAGAGGCTATGAATGAGATCTTTTATAAATAACATAAAAGGACTTTGTTTTGGCTGCTCAGATGCCTTTTTTACATTTCTTCCGGTTTCCCACCTCTGTTGCTTACAGTTGAACTTAGTATCAAGTGACCTTCAACTATGAAGTGGAGCAAAGCACCACGGATCTGAAAAACTATGAAATATTATTCTACAAAATATCCACAAGAGGGCAGTACAACCCTGTTTAGTACTATATAAAAATAACGACCTTGATTTTTTTTAAACTTCATTTCCATGTTCACCTTAGAATCTTTTCCTAGAAAGCACTAAATAGCTGTGACCTTCATAACAAAGTAGCCAGCAGCATATACATCTGCAGCATATGTCTACTTTAAACAGTATTCAATGTCTATTGTTAACACTTTTAACACTACTAAATCAAAACACGTTTTATAAAGTAGATGTGTGAAGTTGTGAAAGTCAGGACCCACAATGGACACTATTGCTGACATTCTCTTTTCACTCACCCCTACTTCTACAACCACCATCAATAACGGGCTTAGAACTCTCCATTCCGCTGAGGCAGAAGCAAGCTCCAGAACAAAGATCCTTCATGACAGTGACCATCAGATACCACCAATTAGCTGGAATTGGGCACAAGGAATAAAAACCCACCCACCACCCCAGAGAGGAAAAATGTAAGCTGGGAAAGGGAAAAAAGAAGATGAAAAAAAAATCAGAAGACCAATTCCATTCACTGTGAGTGGACACTTTTAAGGGATCTTCTAAAAGATCAGGAAACCCAAGGAAAAGTATCACATAAAGTTCTTACCTTTGCTGTTCCAGTCTGGGAACCATAGAAAATTTTCACTCCAGACACAAAGACTTCCTTCTTTTGAAGAGGGATATAACCATTTGTCATCAAATCCCCAGTTGCTTTTGGAACAGATTTCTGTGAGTTCTTGTCCTTGAAGATAAACAACTGCACAAAATCCATCAAGTTTGAATCTTTTCCCATCTTCAACTGGGACGAAAACCAGCACAGATACTGACCTATTTTACTATTCTCTTAATTCTTCCGGTGTACTCTTCAAATATTAACCCCCTTGGTATAATTAGGTACGTTAAAGGCTGGACCCAGATTTTTTTTTTTTTTAAGATTTTATTTATTTATTTGACAGAGAGAGACACAGTGAGAGAGGGAACACAAGCAGGGGGAGTGGGAGAGGGAGAAGCAGGCTTCCCGCCGAGCAGGGAGCCCGATGCGGGGCTGGATCCCAGGACCCTGGGACCATGACCTGAGCCGAAGGCAGACGCTTAACGACTGAGCCACCCAGGCGCCCCTGGACCCAGATTTCTTAAGACTATAAAGATCCCTACTTCCTCCAGGACAAAACTATACATACATTCATCCACAATGTGCTTTAGTGGAATAACAGTAGGAACTCATTTACTGATCTTTAGTGGTAAGAAAAGAGAAGATAACTGCCCTTTGAAGATGCTAATACGATTGTTTTTTACAAGTTTAATTTTTCATTACAAAATCTTCCTGTATCTTAAGAGGGAGACATCCACAGCCCATCAAAGAAAACATAAATAACGTAGTCCATAATAACTTAGTCTCTAAAAACCGAGAATAAATTCTTTAGGCATTTAAAAAAAATGTCTAGAGACCAAACATAAAAGTGACTGAAAGTTCCTTTTAGCTTTTCTGAAAACCTTAGAAAATCTGCACTCTAACCTCTCTATAAATCTAGTATCTTAACACTCTCCTATAAAAAATAATTCCACTTACCTGCTTCCTGATGACAATCTGGAAACAAATCCAAAGGCTAATGCCAAAGGCAAAGCCCAAATAGACGTAAAACCTGTTCATCCATAATGACATTAAAGGTGATGAGAAGTCCCATGTATCCAAAGAAGGATCTAAATTTAAAATGATACATACATGTAATTTCACTTAAAGCTACATATATAAAGCTGCTCATCCTGATTTTAAGCATAAAAAATAAGAGAAAACCAATCTTCATTTTCAAGAACCCAGCTAAGAAATCTATAAAAAATCAACTCTAATAAAAATAACACACCGCTGCATGTGGTAATGATAAAATTATCGGGAAGATAATGCTAACGCAGGAAAATATACAAAATCGTACCTTCCTTTGGATATAGCATTTGGAAGCAAGAGAAGTTGAAATACTTCATGTGGAATTATGAATTTTGCTTTGTTTTGTGTGCTCCATAAGAAAAGCTTTAAAAAGTACTAAACTATTCCCTTTCTTCTAGTTTTAAAGACCCACTGCTGCTTGTAAAGGGTTCTCAACGGACCGCACACCCCATTTTTTTGGAGTGAGATATGAATAGATCTGGCCTCAAATGTCGAACCTGGAGGCAATTTCAAAAGGCGAAGCCTAAAAAGTGGGGTGTGCAGGTGCTGCTCCACTGTGGAAAAGACAAAAGTGGGCTTTGCAGTTGCTGCTCCGCCACGGAAAAAACCAAAAGCCATCAGCACACGCGGGTAAAGAGAGTGGGCAGTTTTCTCTGCGTTTTACTTGAGGTTAGGAGCATAGTTCCTGCTGAACTCATCCCTAGCCTCACGAGGCAAAAGCCAGGTCAAAAGCAGGGTTCAGTCCTCCCTTGCTGTCAGCGGCTCCCGTCCCGGGCCGACAAGCACAACAATCTGAAGGACCGGGCCCGAGGACGCCACTCCGCTGGGAGAGGGTCTGAGAAAAACGGGTTCCTCTCTCCGCCCGCGTCGCGAATTCTGCCCGCCGGGGGGCCCTTACCCATTCTCCTCAGAGCCCAGGCCCTGCGGCCCGACAGACCCTAGGACTGCAGACCTGAAAAACCTGGCGGCCGGCGCGGATACCAGGAGACCGCCAAACTAGCTTGAAGCACTATCAGTAGAGCCCGAGCACGCAGCGCTGGCGGCAGCCATGCCACTCGCTACCCCGTCGGATTGGCTCAGAGGGGGAAGGGGCGGGTCCAGAGGGAAGCCCCGCCTACGGCTCCGCGCGAGGAAACCGAAGCCCTCCCAGTCCCGCTCGGATTGGCTCAGAGGGGAAGGGGCGGGCCCCGAGGGAAGCACCGCCCACGGCTAAGGGTTAGGAAGCCGGAGCGCGTCCGAACGTTCCCGAATTGGTGCAGAGGTTCAAGGGGCGGGTCCAGTGGGGAGCAAGGCCAAGACAGGCGTGGCATAGGGGAAAGAAACGCGGAAATGGCGGGCGAGTTAAGCGGGTATTTTCCACCAAATGCCATCCGTGGTCCTGTTTGGTCCTCAACTGAAACACACCGAGTATAAAAAGGCATTATTTCGGGAAATTTGGTTGTGGACTATTAGATGATATTAAGGACCTTGGGTGATGTTGGGTGCATCCGGAAGGAGTATAGACTGACGTATTTAAAGCTAAAATCTTATAATTTGCTTTAATCTACTCCAATAAAAAAATAGGGAGAATGAAACAAGAATGGCAAAATGCTGATAATTGTTGAAGCAGGGAGATGGGCTCATGGGGGTTCATCATATTTTTTTCTCAAATTTTTTAATCTCACAATTTTTCCACAATAAGGAGTTAAGGTAGGTGTGGCCCCGAACTCTGCGGAACTAAGAGGGGCCGACGCCACGTTTCCACCCGGTCACTAAAACATCAACTTCACCAGCCAATCAGAGCTCCTTAGCTCATTGGCGGAAGTATATTACAGTAAGGAAGTGCGCCTCTCCTGTCGGGCGCGGAACGATGTCGTAAAAGCCACAATGCGCAGGCGTTGTTGCTCTCTTTTTCTTTCCTGGTTTCTGCGACATCTGACGCCTGCGCAATAAGATAACTGGGTGTATTGTGGCGGCCGTCGGAGCAGATAGTGGTCGATCCGCGCGCCGCTGGGTCATTACAGCGAGGCGCGGGTGGTCCTCAGGCCGGCGGCGCGGGTTAGCCTTGGTTCCTTGGACCCAGCGTCTGTGAGCAGCTACTATGTCGATCTTCACCCCCACCAACCAGATCCGCCTAACCAATGTGGCCGTGGTACGGATGAAGCGCGCCGGCAAGCGCTTCGAAATCGCCTGCTACAAAAACAAAGTCGTCGGCTGGCGGAGCGGCGTGTGAGTGACCCCTCTCCCTCCGGGCTCTGGCCGGACTTTTGCCTCCGCGGCGGCCTACCCCCCGGTCTTCGAATGAACTGGGGTCTTGGCAGGGAAGGAAACGGAAAATTTATCCCGGCTCTGAGCGTGAGAATCACTGTCCTTCCCGAGCTTAGCGCCTAAATCAAGGGTTCCATTTTTATTTGGTTCGTGTGGTTTAGGTTGTTGGTTTGGGGTTTTGTTTTAATCGGTGGGTGTCGTAAAAGCTGCAGCCAGGAAACCCCCAAAATATGGTCGTTTTGCCAAAATAACGTTAAAGCGTTGGGACCTAGCCTTCCAAAAATAGCTCCCCTGGCCGTAGAACAGCCTGATCACAGGTCTTTGCCCAGTAGTTTCACCGAGGTGCGCAGTGTCCGCTGCTGCCATCTAGGGATCGGATTCCCTGGCAGCCGCCCGCCCTCCGCTCGCGTTCAGGGTCTCGTGCGTACTCCCGTGACGTTTGTCTCAGGGAGTCAGTGGGAGCACAAATGCGGTTCTGAGTTTTGAAAATGTTCCCTCGCACTGAGGGTCGGTTAGGAGCATTTGTTGTTTATCTCGCTGCCATCTTGTGTTTAAAATGTGAATGAATTTCAGAGTTTCAAGTGTGCTCACTTAGGGTTTTCTCTCCTGCTGTCACAAGGGAAAAAGACCTTGATGAAGTTCTACAGACCCATTCAGTGTTTGTAAATGTTTCTAAAGGTCAGGTTGCAAAGAAGGAAGATCTGATCAGTGCATTTGGAACAGACGACCAGACGGAAATCTGTAAGCAGGTGAGTTCTAACATCTGCAGCATAATTGACTCTAATGTTCTTTGTAGTAGAAGTACTTATAGGTATGTTAAACTTTAAAACGTTATTTTTTGGGAGTGAATAGTTATCCTACAGTAGTTCAACCTGAATAACATCACTTTTTTTTTTTTTTAAAGATTTTATTTATTTATTTGAGAGAGAGAGAAAGCATGAGGTGGGGAGGGTCAGAGGGAGCTGAGCAGGGAGCCCGATGCGGGACTCGATCCCGGGACTCCAGGATCATGACCTGAGCCGAAGGCAGTCGCTTATCCAACTGAGCCACCCAGGCGCCCTTTTTTTTTTTTTTAAGTGAGAGACGGGGAGAGAGATTGGGGAGAGGCAAAGGGAGAGGGAAAGAGAAAATCTTAAGCAGGCTCCACTGCCTGGAGGGCTCAATCTCACAACCCTGAGAGCATGACCCTAGCCAAAATCAGAGAGTCAGATACTTAATGGACTGAGCCACCCAAGCACCCCTGTAACATCACTTTTTTTAATTGAAGTATAATAAACATACAGTGTTACATTAGTTTCAGGTGTACAACATGGTAAGCGTCGTCACCACCTGTCAGAAAAGCGTTATTACAGTCTTATTGATTATAAACCATATGCCGTTCTTTTTATCTCTGTGACTTATTTTATAACTGGCAGTTCATGCCTTTTAATCTCCTATATCTATTTCACCCATTCCCTACCCACCTTCCCTCTGGCAACCACCAGTTTAGTCTCATAATTAAGAGTCTGGGGTTTTTTGTTTGTCTCTTTTCGTTTGTTGTTCATTTGTTTTCTTTCTTAAATTATGCATGAGTGAAATCATGTGGTGTTTGTCTTTCTCTGACTTATTTCACTTAGCATTATACCCTTTAGGTCCGTCCATGTCATTGCAAATGGGAAGACTCGTTCTTTTTTATGGTTGAGTAATATTATTCCATTGTATTTATACACACACACACCATTTATTCATCTATCAGTGGACACTTAGGTTGCTTCAGTATCGTGGCTATTAAAAATAATGCTGCAGTAAACATAAGGGTGCCTGTATCTTTTCAAATGAGTGTTTCTGTTTTCTCTGGGTAAATAGTAGGGCGATTACTGGATCATATGGTAGCTCTACTTTCAGTTTTTTGAGGAACCTCCATACTGTCTCCCACAGTGGCTGCACCAGTTTGCATTCCCACCAGCAGTGCATGAGGGTTCCTCATCTTCACCAACACTTACTATTTCTTGGTTGTTGTTTTTTGTTCTAGTCATTCTGACAAGTATAAGGTGGTAACTCATTGTGGTTTTGATTTGCATTCCCTTGATGACGAGTGGTGTGAGCATCTTTTCATGTGTCTCTTGGCCATCTGTATGTCTTCTTTGGGAAAATGTCTGTTGAGGTTCTCTGCTCATTTTAATCAGATTACTTGGGTTTTTTTGTTGTACAGCATCATTTGTAATAATTCAGGACATAACAATTTTGCCAAGCCTCCAAAATTTAAGTCTTCTAAGTTGCTTTATTTTGTCCATTTATATATTTTTAGTGTAATATACTTGAAAATAGAATTTCTTTTCAAGGATTTCACCATTTACAACCTTTGTAAGATTGCCTTTTCTCCTTTCCCCACCTAAATAAGTAAGATCTTAGAGCACAAGATAATCCAGCGTATCCCTTAGGTGAAGCTCAAATCGTTACTTATATATCAATAGCTGAGAAGGATGGAATTTAATTTTCTCCCCAAGTTACTAATTCTTGTGGTTAACAAATACTGTGCAATAAAGACATTGCTTTTTTAAATCTGTTGGGGTTTTTTTAGATTTTGACTAAAGGAGAGGTTCAAGTATCAGATAAAGAACGGCATACACAGCTGGAGCAGATGTTCAGGGACATTGCAACTATTGTCGCTGACAAGTGTGTGAACCCTGAAACAAAGAGACCATACACTGTTATCCTTATTGAGAGAGCTATGAAGGACATCCACTATTCGGTCAAAACCAATAAGAGTACCAAACAGCAGGTGAGTGGTTTTTAATGTCAAAAAGTACCCAAATGAAAATCAGTTTTCTCTGAAGAAAACATTAAAATACTCAGTCTGTAATAATAACAAGATACTACTTAGAAGCAGTTGGGTAGAGGTTTTGGGGAAGGGGAAGGAAATGATGGGGGTTATAGGGAGGAGTAATGGAATTTTTTATAACAAAGCACAAATGTACTACAGTTCTCATTTTCCTTTCCAAATCAAACCTTTAAAGATAAAACTTAACTTTTTTTTTTTAAAGATTTATTTATTTATATAAGAGAGTGTGTGTGCACGCATGAGCTGGGGGAGGGGCCAAGGGAGAGAGTCTCAAGAAGACTCCACACTGAGCATGGAGCCCAACACAGGGCTGGATCATGACCTGAGCCAAAACCAAGAGTCAGATACTTACTGACTAAGCCACCCAGGCACCCCAAAACTTGGATTTTTGAAGAGTCATTTCAACTCTGCATTTTACATTTTTTTTTAATTTATATATTTCATATGCCATATAAGTCATCTTTTTAAAAGGTACAATTCAGTGGTATATTCACAAAGTTTTTGCAGCCTTCCCTATTACTTAATTTGAGAACATTTCTATCACCCCCCAGAAGAAACCCTGTCACCATTAGCAGTCACTCCTTGTTTCCTCCCTCTCACATGTGTTTGGCAAATTTGTTTTCTGTTTCTATGGACTTTTCTATTCTGGACATTTCATATAAATGGAATCATACAATAATGTGGCCCTTTGAAGGTTCATACCTATTATAGTACATGTTAGTACTTCATTCCTTTTTAGGGCTCAATAATAACCCAATGTATAGAAATACCATATTTTGTTGATGGATATTTGGGTTGTTTCTGCTTTTTAGCTATTATGAATAATGCTGCTGTGAAATTCATTACAAGTTTTTGTGTGTACGTGTTTCCAATTCTCTGTACCCAGAAATGGAATTGCTGGGTCATGTGGTAACTATATTTAACCTTTTGAGGAACTGCCAAACTATTTTCCAAAACAGCTGAGGCATTTTACATTCCCACAGTCAGTGTTCAAGGGTTCCAATTTCTCCACATTTTTTACGA